TAAGGTGATCATTAGATGAACTTGTTTTGCTCTAATATTCATTACTCATTCGAATATTTATTAAATCAGTGTTTGTAATTTTTTATTACTTTCCATTAGTTCACAAGAAAGAAAAAACTATTCACAAATATTATCATTATTTGTTTTATTTGATTGACTGACCACCAATTAGGTAATTAGCATGGCGTGTTTGTGTGTTTGTTAGATTTTAGTTTTGTTTGAGGACCAACAAAGATTCAAGTTTGAGAGTTTGATAAGTGTAGTTTCTACACTTATTCGAGGCCCTAAATGATGATATTATATTGTCCTTTCGATAAAATTCTACCTAATTTATGTTATCTTGCATTTTTTACGTAAATTTTTATATTTGATGAAGAATTGGAGAAAAGAAGTGAAAAATGGCGAAAAATGGCAAGATCCAAATTTTAGAGACTAAAATGTAAATACTCAAAAATTGTGTCGAAACTCACGATGAAGATTCGAGAATTCTATGGGTCAAATGGGTGAAATTAGAACTCAAAAGAAGTGAAAATATGACCAAAATATTGTCACAAATCAATTTTCAATCGCACAAGGATGTTCTAGATTTTCATCAAGAGATTGAGACCCATTTTTGGCCTAGTAAACATTCGAATTGGAAAATGGCTATTTCTATAAAATTTGTAAATCTTTGAGTTATATTGAATCACCATAATCGGATATCGGGAGAAAACGTTATGACAAAACTACTGAAGTAGGCGTAGAGTTTGGACAGTAAGTCAGCGCCCAGGCACTAAGAAGTGACAATAGAAACAGAAATAGCGTTGTATCCTAGCGCCTAGGCGCTGCGCCGCCTATTTTAGGGTTTTTGTTGATTGGGCCGCGAGAAGCCCATGAAAAGACTCCAAATTGGCCCAGAAAGTGGAATGAAGTATAAATAGACCCAAGGAGACACTAATAAAGGGGGTTCCACACATTGAAAAAGAGAGATACAACGAGAGATCGAAAAGCTAAATCCAGAGAAGTAATTAATCGTGGAATTCAAGATCAAAGCAAAGATAGGAAGCGGTAGAAGACCTTGGTGCAAGAGTTTATTCTTTTCTATATCTTTATTCCAATAATTCGGTGATGTATTCAAGTTTATTTATTTGTTTTTCTTTTTACATTGTGTAACTAAACTCTAAATTAGGGCGAGCAATGTAGTCTTTTGTGACCCTTGATTTTTTAATCTAAGATTTATGTGGTTTATTCTTTTATGTGTTGGTTTTATTATGAGTTTAATGCATATATTAAATTATCTGATCAATAATTTGATGATTACGTGAGTTTCTTACGAATCAAGAAGTGAGTTTGAGATTTAGACCATATAATAAAATCTGGTAATGTAGTATAACGTGTAGAGATATCTATACTAATTATTGTGGTCGTTATAGGAATTTTTAGAACTATAATTCGTTTAACTAAGGGTAATTTGCACAGAGATATGAAATTGAATTAATTAAATAGGATCAATGAGAATTTGAGAGGGATAAATTGAATATCATAGAAGAATTTGACCGAACACTACATTAGGTTAGAATCTTGAATTAGAAATTAAGGTGATCATTAGATGAACTTGTTTTGCCCTAATATTCATTACTCATTCAAATATTTATTAAATCAGTATTTGCAATTTTTTATTACTTTCCATTAGTTTACAAGAAAGAAAAACTATTCATAGATATTATCATTATTTGTTTACTTTCATCAAATAGGAGTTATGCAAAGTAGATTAAGATTAAAGTATAGTTCTCGTGGGAATGATAATTCGGACTCAATTGTCTACTATATTACTTGTTACGATATCGTACACTTACGATAGAAAAAACGCAACAATGTAATTTGATGAGAGTTGTTTCATATTTTCAAGAAGTGAGAAATGTGTGCATTTGGATTATTTCAAGAAGTTGGCATATTAAGTGATGAAAATTTAATAAGGGTATATTGGTAAAGGAACACAACAAAATATTCTACATTAGGTAACATGCCTATATATTTGAGACAATAGAAAAAGGAAACTCTGTCTATATAATTGAGACGGAGGGAGTATATATATATTTATATATTTGGAAGTATAAAACTTGTGGGTGATTGTTGCAACATTTTTGGATTAATAGTAGAAAACTCTCTTAAACGTTTTCATGTGCGATATACCTTCTATTTATTGGAAATTGCAAAAAACTCTCCCATTTGAAACTTTTTGTGCGAATATCCCAAGTCATCGAGATTTGTTAGATTTGCTGTTAAAAAGAATAAAAATGTTAAAATTAAAAGTGAATAATTACAATTTCAGTACTCAAACTTTTTATTTCTTTACAAATTAAATACAAAATTTTTATATGTGTCACAAACAATTTCAAATATTTAAAACTTTATTTTTCACCCCACCCCACCCCACCCCACCCCATCTTCTACCCCAAAAATAAAAAATAAAAAAAATGTTGCTCTTTAACGTCCATTAATGGAGCTTCCCAATTCCCAAAAAAAGATCTCCACCCTACAAAACAAATTTTCATTCTATCAGGCCAGACCAACATGACAGGCCGTAACGACGTTGACAAGTAGAAAAAAATAGGAAAGCGTTGTTTCGTTGGACTCATGAATGACCCTTCGAAAACCCAATGACAAAATATTTTTTCGACCCCATCATTAAAAGATGAGTTAGATATAAGAATTATGCTACTCAACAACTTTGGATTACCTGACTCCACCTCCTCCCTCACATGGAGGTCGGGTCCCACATCCAATAAATGCGAGGGATCCAATCCCCATGTGAGGGAGGGGTGGGTCTGAGTAACCCGAAGTGTAATTCAAATATAGCAAGACTCTGAATATAATGATTCCGACCATCAAAAACTTGGATTTCCGCGAGATGTGGAGACCCTTTTTCCAGTTGAATATAATGATTCCGACCATCAAAAACTTGGATTTCCTCGAGATGTGGAGACCCTTTTTCCAGCCCTACCATTTGAGTATTGTTCAAGATATAGATCCACCAAAAAAAAAAGTCCCACAGAGTTTTGATTATAAACTCTACAATCGAAATGATATAAAACAAGATTCTGGGTCGTAAGTTTTCATGTATTTCGTTTAAGGAGTTGACCTGTCGATGCATTGGCTAGATGTCGTTGAAGAAGAAGTAATTATTCACCATTGATGATGATTGCTTTGTAGGATCCAAAACCCAGTTTTTACATTTCCAGATTTGTTTCTTTTTGGGTTTCAAATTGGTCTCAATCTATTGAATTTTAGTATCAAACACTGTATTTTGTTTTTTATGTAAAAGATTGGATCTGAATCTCTATGGTGTGGATTTATATGATAGTTTCTTAATGATTTTGGTTTGGAGGAGTATCTCAGAGTTCTAAAATTAATTGAATTTTCTGGATTTTAATTTTGGTTTAATTGGGTATAGTTGAAGGTGGGAAATAAGATGAACTGGGGTGGGGGTGGGGGTGGGGTGGGGTGGGGAGGAAAATAAAGTTTTAAAATTTTGGGATTGTAGGTGGCACATATAAAAAATTCGAGTACAATTTGTAAAAAAATAAAAAGTTTGGGTACTGAAATTACAATTATTCATTTTTAATTTTAGCATTTTTTACCGTTTTAACAGTAAATTTGATGGATTTTGATGGCAATGGAGTTTTTCGTACAAAAAGTCTCAAACAAGAGAGTTTTTTGCGATTTCCAATAGGGATGGGGTATATGGCATATGGAAACGTTTCTAGGAAATTTTCTGCTATTAGTTCTAACGCTTTTTAAAAAGTTTTAAACTTCCATAACAAATATTAATTTTCAATTTTGATTTTTAATATAAAATTAAATCTCATAATATTATAGTGTAACCTATATATTAATTGAATTAATGTTTATTGTTTATTCTATTACTTTTGACAAATTCGATAATAACTCGTTCTTTATCTCCTGTGATCGTGCCCATAGAAGATAATCGTTGTGAGTCATATGCTTTTTATTTTGGAGTTGTGTAGTGTCAAAAATACATGTACGAAGGGGAGACAACATGATTTTATGACAGTGTCCTTGACATGACTACATAAAACTTGCATTCTAACTCTCTTCTTATTGTTGAATTATAATGTTTATATTATTATAATCTTATTATGTTTATGCAATTATTGAATTATGTTATTTATACTTATTATTTGATATGTTTATCTACACAAAAATCACTTAATTTTCCCAACACTTATCACCATCGAAAACTTTCCCAAGGATCGTGCCCCCACTCGTGGAGAAATGAGCGAATTCTACGTACAGACTACAGCCAAAATCTTTGGAATGTCACTCTTTAAACTTTACCTTTCTTACAGGGACGTAGTCAGGATTTCAATCTTGTGAGGGCGAAAATACGGGGGGTGGAGGGGGATGGAGCCTCCGAATTTTTTTTAACTAAGGGGATTGAAAACAACGATTTTGAGCACCAAAATAGGCAAGTTAGATTGATAGACAAAAGGACAATCAGTTTGTCGATACAAAAATAATATGTCTATCTATGTGTCTAACGCTATACAAATTGAAAATATGAACGTTAGATGGACATAAAAAAGACAAAAAGTAAACTGCCTATCTATATAACAAATGGTAGAGATGACTTGAACATCTGAAATTGGTCTCTCCTTGTTCTCATCACTTCAAACTCGTCAATAAGAAAATCTAATGGAAAAGTATCGACAATCTCATTCTCTATATACACAAGCATGGTACTGGACAAAAAATTATCTTCCATTCTATTACACAACATTGTCTTAATGACACTCATATCTGAAAATGCACGTTCTGTAGTTGCTGTTGAAACTGGAAGAGTCGAGACAAGACGAATCAATCTATCAACAAGATTATAACTCATTGATTTTCTTGTTAATGCCAACAGTTGGCACACATCGAGAAGTGTTATCAATTTTTTAAATTGAGAGTTACGCTGAACTTCAACTTGATATAGCTCCAATTGATTTTTCAAATGCAAGTTCTCTTGATTTGTAAAGTCAGCGGGATAAAATTTATCTACAAGCTTACAAATAAGAGATATATGGTTCTTGACCAATGTTATCTTCCGGAATAAGAGATTCAAGATTAGAGGTAGAAGCTTCCTTAAAAGTTCATTTCTTGAAATATGAATCAATCTTCTTCATGCTGTAAATATTCCCAGTAATTCAAATTAATTTCAATACCCACTACTCACAATATAATTCAAATCAGTACTGAAATTCAATGTTCAATTCAATCGTTGTCGCGCAGAGAAGAGATTTGAGGAAGAATGAGGGGTATCTGTAGTCGGGATTACATTTTGTGGGCTGTGGCCTGTGGGTATGCTTTTGGGTAATTGATTCATAAATGGGTCATTTGCTTTTGGATTAGATTTGAACTATTTATTTATTTAAGTAACTGTTGGATATTTTGTTTAGATCTAAAATTTTTGTATGGTTGAATTTTAAAGTGTAAGTTATTTGGTCAATATTCATTAATGGAAAAAAAAAAATTTCAAAATTTTTGCGGGGGCGAGTCAAAATTTTTGCGGGAGCGAAACTGAAAAATACATTACAAATTAATTAGAAATAGTGGACCAGCGAACAATGTTGCGCGTGTGTGCACAATAGAGGATTGGCAACATAAATTGATGGAGTTTCCAACTTCAACAGTAAAATTAATGTTCGGACCTTTTGAATTAGCATGCTTCTCTTGATTTTTTTTTTTTGGACAAATAGTGTAATTCTTGGACAGATACTTATATTCTCTCTTGGATATTTACTATGCTTTAGTATTCTTTCTATCATTTGTTAAATGGTAATGGCTTGTAGAGAGGGACGGATCCGGCACCTGGCCAGCCCCCTCGGCTGCCAGTGCTGGGTTCGTCGGAAACTTCAGACAACTCCGGGCAGGGGCTGGGAGTCGGGAAGAAGATGAAGAACAGAAGAAGGATGAGGCGCTGCTGGGCTGGAGCCTGGACCAGGGAGCTAGAGTTTTCAAAATTTTTGGGCCTTATTTAAAAAAAAAGGCCCAATTTTTTAACCTAATCCATGGTCAATTTTGCTATCTATTTAACAAAACCAAATAAAAGGAATAGGTCCAATCCAATTTCCAATTCATCTCTCATTTCTTCTGGGCAGTGGGCGACGTCACGATTGTTGGCGAAATTAATTTGGACGACTGATGAGGACGGTGGAGGCTGCTGGCTGGTGTGGTGGCTGGAGAGTCACTAGAGTGGTGTTGTGACTCTGAGTTTTTCGGTTGGAGTGGACCGTGGAGGCTGGGCTATGGTGAGTGGAGGCTGGAGCAACGGAGCTTCCGCCTTGTCCGCGTCTGTGAGTCTGTGACTGTGAGTTTTTGGGCTTCCTGGAGGCTGGGCTGTGGTCTGTGGAGGCTGGAGTGGAGAGGCTAGGCCTGAACTGCTGGAACTTCCGCCTTAGTCTGGTGTGGACGGGGCAGGCTTGAGTTTTTGGGATGGCCCGTTGGAGGTATCGGGTATGTTACGTATGTATATTGTATAATGTATTTGAATTTGCCAATTTCTTATTTGTTATTTGCTATTAATGAATTATGATAAATGAGTAAATGAGAATTTATGGATGGGTGCAGCCCCCGGACTATATATTTCTGTTTTTGTATTCCTTTTTTTTTTTAGTTTTTGTTAAATTGTGAATTATGAGAAATAAGAATTTATATTAACTATGAGTTATGACTTATAATTTTGAATTGTGATTTGAGAATTTAGGGCTCTAGGAAATTAGGATTTAGGGATAAGTGAAGAGTCTTCGGCGTGAAGATATTTGGCTTAATTAAACTATTAACCATGTCTATGTGTACACTGTTTTTATGATCGTTGATTATCTACGGTCATCGATCAACGGTCAACGGTCAACAGTCTCCGCCCGTGCTGGGTCCAATTCTTGGATTCACCCCTGCTTGTAGACCACCGTCCGAGAAGCTAAGTCCCTTTTGACAACTATTATTTGAAAATCTTGTTTTTTATCTATTCATTTTTTAGGTAAGCATTCACACAATAAAATATTTTACATGTAAACTCAATTCTTTTTTTAACTACACAATCTCCTAAAAATCACTATTCAAAACATTGTTTTTCTCAACTAATAGTTGTCAAACATGAGCTAAATATTGTAGAATAATGTTCTTTAGATAAGCTCAAAGGTAGGGATGGAGGGACATGGTGATGTGGCCAATAATAATTGGGCGTTGCGTTTTTATATTTTTCAATCTATTCAATCATATATCGACACATATTTTCCTATTTTTGAACCCGTCATTTAACCTTTTTTTAAGAACAATTAAATATTGTGTGTGCAAGGAAACACAGATAATGACTCACCTCTGAGGAATCATGGTCAAAACTATGGCCCACCGTCATGGAAAACTATGGGCCCATTTCATTGTTACATACTTGCAAGTGAATGTCCGTCAAATTTATCTAAACAATTAGCAAAAGAAATCAAACCTCTTCTTGTCGCATGCTTCAATCTTTTCTATTCGACATCACATTCCCTTATTCCTGCTGAGTTAATTACCCGCTCTTTTTCTTGGATAAATGCAAGACCATTTTATTATGGAATTAAGCTAAATAACATAATGTTTGACATAGGAATTGATCTACCACTCATATTGCATGTGGGTCCCAACCTGAATTAAATAATGCCGACCTCCCCCCGTGTGTGTGTTGTGTCATTCCTTATGTCAAGCATTATGTTTGTATAACAAAACTCTTTATTAAGTTCTATTGTCCATGCTTCCCATGGTTAGCTACCATGACTCGGGAATGGTCTAACTAGAATGAGCAATAATAAAATGATGTCGCTTCATTTCAAGACCAAGCTTTTCGGCGATGTTACGTTTTCTCTCTTAAAGGTAAGAGGGCAATTTATAGGAGACGAACTTTAATGAAATAGTCTTACATGTACACGCAATAGAACTATTCATTTAAATTATATCACTTCGGATTTCGAGACATTCAAAATAAAACACTTTGGAGTCCGAAGTGGTAAAATAAAAAAAACAAAGTGGGCGTGTGATGTCGAGTGTGTCATTTTGAATGGCTAAATGTACAATATGTCGTGATTTAAATGAACGATTATACTACATGTGCATTTAAAATCGTCATATCGAAACTTATATCTTCATGGGTCTTGGCCTAACTTACCTACGAGTTTTTCTTCTTACTGCTATAAGAGGGACAAAAAAGAGCTCCATAGCTGCAATAAAGATATAGCCTATGTTTGGTCTCCATTTTTTCAAGAATTTATTTTTTCAAAACTTATTTTCAGCTACACATTATCTAATAAAATAATTTTACATGTAAATCGAAAACTTTTCCTTTAATTTTTAACCACACATCCTTAAAAAAATCATCATTCAAAAATTCATTTTTCTCTAAAAATGGGGCTCAAACAAGCCAATAAAACAAAAAAAGAAATTTTTTTGACATAATATTGCTTAAAAATAGCTGACTTAATTTTAAGCTTAGCCAAACATGTCTGCCGAACACACGCAAAGACAAACGCACAACTCTCTATCTCTTCTCTCTCACATACACACGCACAAAACCCTTTCTCTCTCGCACAAACACACACACAAACACGCTCACTCTCCACATGTCGTAACCCGTAATTTTGCATTTGTTCACACAGAACATCGCCCCCGCGCTTCAAAACCACCATTTTTGCACATACTTTTCCACGACTCATAGAAAATGCGTTGCCCCACTTCTTCCTCGTTTTCTCCCCTGCAAACCCTTGTGATCAACGCTTTTGTTTCACCATTTCACCCCTAATCGAATCATAAAATTACAGCAAAACACAATCTTTGTTGTTCTCACTATTGGGTAAATCACGCTCTTTTTTGCTCTATTTCTTTAAAATCTCAGCTTTCCAGATTCTAGGGTTTGCTCAGTACAAAATTCCATCCCTTCATCAGAGATAAGTATGATTTTTGTCCCTTCTATTTTGATTTAAGTTCTTTATATGGGTTCCATTTGTTTGTAATAATAACCTTTCCTGATCGCATTGATTATTGTAGAACAGAAATTTTTTTGTGCAACATATAGCTTTCTTTTACGCTTTCGTCCCCCGGTGTGTTCATTTGGTGGTTGACTTTCTGGGATTTTTTTTTTAATGTTTTAGGATCACGTGTTTTTGTTTTGAAAAATAGTATTTATTAAATTTGATGGGGAAATGTTGGTAATCTGCTTACCTGATAAATGATATGGAAAAGATCGTGTGTACTGTACTTCGTTTTCCTCTCTATACTGTTGACTTCGTTTTCTTATCCTTTTTTAACCGATTAATTGGGAGCTTATTTTTATTTTCCGAAATTTCAATGTTATAGTGCTTGATGATTTACTAATTGCATCTAAAATTCAACTTTCTAGTAGATTTTAAAGTAATGGAAGAATTGGAACTGTTTGTTATTTATAATATGGGTTTACCTAGCTATACTTATTGCTAATCACGGAACTCTGCATCATGAGAAATTAGATATTGACAAAAAGAGCGAGAATAAAGGAAATTATCAAGGTTTGTTTGCTGAGGAACTGATGGTGTTTGTTGTTTCCAAAAATTGGCCTCTGTGAATGTGGATAAAAATGCTCTGTGTCATACCAAAATCTCTAGCAGCACTGTTGCTATTTTAATTGTATGTGGGAAGTGGTGGGCCTCACATGGACTGTGCCCATGGCATAGTTGGTTGCTCGGTTTTTTAAAAATGTTGCAACTCTTGCTAGTAGTCTTGATACGTTCTTGAAGCTGTTTCTTACCACTTTAAATGTTTCTCAATTCATTCAGCTCTAGTAATATTGACGGTTGAACATCCAAAAGCTTACTGTTCCAATTTTCGTTATGAGTTCTAGGAATGAAGAGGACAGCATATTACAGCGCTGCTCCTCAGGTGCAGGATCATTGGCCAATTAAGAAAGCACTCACACTCTCTGATGTTGATATCACCCATCCATTCCTGACATTATCCAGGCAACAGGTTGAAACCCATATTGTTGTGTATATGACGTTTGAACAGGCAAAACTTTTAAGAGAAGAAGGCCAAGTGAGTTTTAATGCCCAGGATGATGATACTGGTGATTTGTATGTGATGAAATTGAAGTGGCGTGGGAGCTATTATAATCTTATAGGCAAATGGGGAAAAGTGGTACGCGGAAAGGGACTTGATGTTGGGCAAGAAATTAAATTGAGGTGGCTAAATGGATGTTTACACTTCTCAGTTCCACAGCGGCAGGTTGTTCTAGTACCACCAATGCGAACAGTTACAGCACCTCTGGTTCCTGACCACTGGCCTCTTACAAAGGTCCTGACTTCGTCTGATGTTGATACTAACCATCCTTTCCTCCCGCTGCCTCGTAAAGCTGTTGAAGATCATATTCTTGCACATTGGATGCCACAAGAAAGAGAAAGATTGAGAAAGGAAGAGCAGGTGCCTATAAATGCACGGGATTATGATACGGGTGATATACATATGATGAAATTGAAGTGGCGAGGGAATTATTATAACCTTATTGGGAGATGGGCAAATATAATTAGACAGAAAGGACTTGGTGTTGGCAAAGAAATCAGAATATGTTGGGCAAATAATTGCTTATACTTCTCAGTTCCAGATGATCATTACATCGCAACAGCATCTGGACACGATAATTGGCCTATTAAGAAAGCACTCACATTGTCCGACATTGATACCAATCATCCATTCCTTACTTTGCCAGGCAAAGCAGTCAAGGATCATATACTCGTCTACTGGACACAACAAGCTCGGGAACAGTTGAGTAGTGACCATCAAGTTACCATCAATGCTCGGGATGATGACAGTGGTGATCTGTATGTAATGAAGTTGAAATGGCGTGGGAGTTATTATAATCTTGTTGGCAAATGGGGCAAAATCATTAGAGAAAAGAGACTCCATGTAGGAAGAGAAATCAGAGTGCGTTGGGACCATGGATGCTTGGTCTTCTCAGTTCCTCAATGACAGTGTTGTTTTATGTAGATAGGTGGAAGCTTCACTCAATACTCATTATGTTTCCAGTAATCATCTCATTCATACATAACGTGTCATTTCATATGGCTAATTTTCTGGTATGCTTTTTGGCTCTGATTGGTTATGATGGTTCCTGACAAAACTATAATATCCAGGCTGCTAATGACTGGTGCAAGAGACTTGCTAGATGTTAATTCAACAACGTGATGCAATACATAAAATTACTAATGGATTTGTCCGCATCAATTATCTTTAAGAGGAAATTTCTTAAGGACGTATTTGGAGAGAGAGAATGAAAAATGGTCTCATTATATTTGTTACTCTTTTAAATATATCTCTATTTTCAAAAATCCTAAACTGTCCTTATTTAACTCTTCTTCTCCATCATCTCAGGCTTAAAGCCTATGGTCCTTTGCTTATCGAAGACGATGAGAGATAGGGAAAAAGAAGAAAACCAAAATAAAATAAAAAGGTGAACGGACACTAGGAATAACAGAAGAAAGGGGAAAAGGTAGGGAGTCACCCCTTCTAATTCTTTTGTTTACTTAATGGGGATTTTCCCCAAAAAACTATGGGAATGGTACAGTTGTAGTATTTAAATAAAAATGTGTTGCAATAATTGAGAATTGTGATAGCATTAGTTTTGGAGAGTTACCGTAATTACTGGATTTGGTAGGAAGTTGAAGGCTTTGGAGTAGAGGAGGAAATTTTTGAAGGTTTGATGTGTGCTTTGAATAACTCGTCCAACATGTCGAATTTGGAGAGTTTGGAGGCTGAGAGTTTGGAGAGTTAACCTGCTTCTTTGAGTGGTGATCTTTTTAACAAGGTTAAATTAGTTCTTGACCTATAAAGGAGGCCTTCTGGAAGTAAAAGTTACAACAAGGCCACTATCCACTCTTACCATTGTCAAATGACTATTTTGAAATATTCCTCTTATCTTTTAAGGCACTTCTCTTCAATTTTTGACTTGGTGACAGTCTTGTTGATTGTTTATGATCATTTTCTATTTTTTCCATTTAAAGTTGTTATTACCCTTTTTGAGCTTCGAACTATTGCTCATACATTCTATGAAATGTTGCAGTACCACTCCTATTTGTTTTATGCCTTTGTAAGATCTTCCAGTACTATTATAGCTACACTCGTGCTCGGTGTTAATATACTATACTGCAGGTGAAATGTTACATCCACCAATGTAACATATAGTTTAAATGGTTAAGATAATGGGTAAACTGATCCTTGCTCGAGTATTTGGTTTATTACTAAACATCAAAAGCAATATTCACCTTGTAAGGGTAATGGATTACAGATTCAAATAGTATAATACCTTCTTCTAATCAGGAATTATGGTGATTCCTCCATTTGTGTGGTTGTCGATGGTTCACTGTCCTTTTTGAAAAGTTGTCCACCACCTATGTACATTTAGATAATAAAGTCATGCAAATTTCTGGATCAATTGTGGTAGTGTAAGTGCTATATGACTTGCATTCCTGAATGATATTAAAGAGGGTCGTTCCCTGATATCAGCAGTTCCCTGGAGTTTCCTGTGTGGCACGTGATACCTGATTTGGACACTTGGTATAACAAATGCAATATTTTTGTAGTGATATGCTTTTTCTGCGCACAAAGAACTGGGGCAGACTAAGTAGATCTGCAGTTCCCTTGAAAGTTCTGTAGATATTCTCACCAAGGAAATATTAGGATACTTGGTGGTGTAGGATGCCAGTAGTTGAGAGTCTGAGACAGGTTATTATGTTAGTTGCCTGAAAAAGATTGTTCTTAAGTACTACTAATCTAGGAAATCAGTAGGAAGCAATCAGTTTTGACGTGAACGATGTCAAATAACGTGTCACTTGGTACCCCTCTATTTGTCTTTTGCCCCTCCAAGTCCTATTTATTATTTCGTAAAGATGCTGGTTTGTATATATTTTTGGTTTGTGACTGAAACTTAAATTCTGTTTCGCAGTCACGGGCCATTTTTGAAGATGTCTCGGCTCTGAGGATCTGGTTAAAATCAGTTGAAGGATGCTCACGTCAACCGGTTTAGTTTATTGAATGCAGCATAGACTGAAAGATGCAAGACTAGGATTTTTATGCTCCAGCAGTCATACAACACTGATATTTGCAGCAGATTACAAGCTGGATTAGAAATGAGAATTTGGTAGAATAGCTCTCTTCTGTGTTATAACTTGTGCTTTAAATGGGGGCTAACGATACTCTGATTACAGATACAGGTCATGATCATTGAGGACTATGGATCTGTAGGGACCAAAAGAAGTTGTGTTGAAGAGGTGAGAGGAAGATAATTAAACACTAAATTCTAACGATACTCTGATTACAGATACTTGTCATGATCATTGAGGACTATGGATCTGTAGGGACCAAAAGAAGATGGGTTGAAGAGATGAGAGGAAGATAATTAAACACTTAATGCATATTTGGTATGCAGTATACTTGAGAGTACTCTGAAAGAGAAAGAAGCTCAGATCTTTTTTATGATACCGTGCAGAGGGTGCAAATGGTGGTCTTAATGAAGATGTGGTTCTTAGCTGAACTACTGGAATTGTCAATAAATTCATGCTATCACATTGATCTCTGGTTGTCAGGAACAATTGAAGCTTGTTTATGAATGCAACTCTCATTCTTGGAGAGCAGACAGGCACAGAACCACACCCTTGGGTTTTGACTTCGTGGTCGAAGATGCTCTGGCTGAAATTGCAGTGATGTGTCAACGGTTTCTTTCACCATGGCAGGAGGTTTTTTCAAAGAAATATTGAGCTTGAATCTTTTTGTCCAAGCACCAAGTTCTGTGCTACTTTCTCTGCAATATTCCACGCATCATCACCTAAAACCCTTCTCCGTGTAAATTTTATTGCTATGTAGTACTTTAGATTTTGGCAGAATGGAATGATGAATTTGAATGTATATATATGCTGTATATTTTACTGTTAATCGTGCCCAGGAAGACAACAAAGTAACATAATTTTCTTTTGACGGGAAGAATCTAGCCATGTCAATATGGTTCGTCGGTTTGGACGGCTATAGCTTGGCTCGGGAAAAGTCCGAACCGGGCCTGCTCGTGGCTCGGTGGGACTGAGCAGAGGCTCAGCCCGGCCCGTGAAGCTAAAAAAGGCTTGCAACTGTTATTTTTTAATATGTTACTATTTAGTTATTATTTATAATATGTATATATTACACAAATTTTAAATTATTTAAAAAAAAATTATATTTGTCACGAATTTTTTTAAAAAATTGGGCTAGTTCAGCTCGCTAAGGCTCGAGCGGAAAGATCGGATCGAGCCTAAATTTTTTGATCGAATTTTTGCTCAACTCGGCTCATGCAAAAAAAATTCGAACCATTTTTACTCGAGACAAGCTCGAGCAAAAAGTTTCGACTCGCAACTTAACTCGTTGACACCCCTAAAAGAATCAAAGTTCTAATAGATAACTTATTTGACTTTGATTGCATCTTGAATCTATTTCTTTTGGTTTATGTCCGGCCAGATTGTGGGTGAACATTATATAATTACCCTATTTATGTAAAATGTAAAATCAGAAAATCATGAATGTGACAAAGTTTTACATTGATAGTCTTTCTATCGTATGGATGGCAATATGGCGGGACGAGACGGGGAAGGTTTAAACGGGTAACAGGACGGGGCGGGGCCCTTTCCTCGTTTAGTACCCAATTAATTTTTTTTTTAATTTTTGATAATTTATTTTATTGTTCTCATTCATTAGATTGAGATAAATAATTTTAGTTATCATTTTCTATTAGAACTAACTGTCTAACTTGTGTCTGTATGTAACCGAGTCACTAATTAACAAATTTGTCTTCAATGTGACCGCCTGTGATCGATTAATCTTAACTGTGACGTTATGTGATCAAGTAATAACCGGTCACAATTAACATAGAATTGGCCACAACCAATCATATTAAGCACATACTTGGTCACATATGGTCACCACAAACAAATCTGCACATACTGCTGACCACCATCACAATCTACGACTAGTCATTGGCACCATCACCTCCAATACACCAAATTACCACTTCCAACTCAAATTCATGACCATAAATTCCACCTTCACCGATTTATGTTATCTGTGACTAACTGCGACAAAATTTGTCTTCAGTGTGAGTGTCTGTTGCCGGTCAGTCTAATTTGTAACTATATGTGATGTAACAAAGTCATACAATCACAGTTAATATAGATCTAGTCACAGACAGTCACAATGAAAATAGACTTGGTCACACCTGATTTCTATCGCCACCACTACTCTGGTATTACCACCATTCCAAACAATGTCAAGAACCAAATGCGCATCACCTGACAATGATCGCCTACACCACCACCAAGAACCCAACGAACCACATATCAGGAAACCACCCATAGATAAAAATAAAAAATAAAAAAAATCACCACCACTATTTGCAAAATACCAACAATTATTCCAAAACTCCAGCTAAACAACGAATTTGATCAAAGCATCACCCACAACCAGAGGCGAACCCAATGAATGCCTAGTGAAGGCAGATGCCTGCACTGAACTTGGGCCATCCCATTTAAGAATATTAGCCAGCAGCCCACTTCCCACATTTTGTTTTGAGTGAATAAATCTGAAATATGAACAGATGATAGAGAAAAAAGTAGCAATATCATAGAAAAGAGCACTACAACTGTTTGCCTTTAATGCGTTTTTCTTTATTAGGAAATTGACTCCGTCCACTCCCCACATTTTGGGGGCACAAACCTTATTTTATACTTCAAATTTGTATACGCATTGTAAATACATACGCACACAAGTAAATACTAGGTAGGCGATGAAGAACTAGAGGAATCTAAACTTTGTGGGAAAGTCCCTTTTGGTTTTTGTTTCCTCAGTCGAAAGTTAATGGCCGAACAAATATGTCTCTTCACCAAGGTCAATTCTATTTCTTACTTCTATTTATTTTCCATTGAAAGATTCATCCTTTGTGTTTATTTTTCGGTAAATTTTGAAAGTCTAGTCTAGAAAAATCTTCATGCATCTTTAATGGGCTGGGTTGAGTTCTCAATTGAAGTGACTATAAATTTCCATTTTTTCATGTCTTGATTTGGGTCTGAATCGTCTGATATTGGAGGAAAATGTAGAACACTAGAACCTAACTAGTGACATTTGGTTTCTTTGTTGTTAAACACATTGGATTTTACATTGCATTGATTTTCAAAATGTGATATTTAGAAGTAATGTTATGGATAATGGTTTCGCAACTGTACATAGCACTTTGTGTTATAACGTTTTTGTTATATTTTTACCCTTACTAATATCGCCTGCACTGAAAATATTTCTTGGGTCCGCCCCTGCCACAACGCAAACCATCTAGGTCAAATAAAAAAAACTACCAACACAGGTAGCGTCCACTGTCAACTCTTCCTCACCACCCGCACCTAAAGTCGGAAAATAAGTAAAGAACCCATTTTAACAAGGGCGAGATGTGATGCCTTCACCAACTATAGCGGAATCTTTAAACTTTAAAGCAAAAGTAGAAAGTCTGTCTTTCCCTTGTTGGAAACGATCAGGAACTAGACAGAACAAATAATGCAACGCACTTCTAAACAGAATACTATCATGCAATATACAGATTGATAACAAAATTAATATAAATGATACTGACTTGAATTTCAGATTGAGGCTAGCACAACGCTATGTCCTATAGCAGAAATTCGCCCCTATTCCTGTGCTTGTAGTTCGATGAACGTCTGCCACCAGGATTCAACAATCTGTTGTGATAAACAGTTGTGTTGATCAGACACAACTATTCAAACAA